TTTAATATTTTCAGCAGGTTCATCTTAAATCTTAAACTCTGCTAAAAATGTTCATATTGCAGGATGGTAAACCAATATTTAAAGCTAACCCTGAAGTAGTGTACAACATTCTTAGCAGCCTGGATGATCCTACCTCTTTGTTTGAAGAGTTTTCAAGACAAACCGATAAAACATTTATAGAAAGTTTAAAACAGACGCTCTCTGGAGATGATGAATGTGTGATGCTAGCCTTTGGTACGTTACTTATGTTTATATTTTTCTCCGTATGGATGTTATTGTCTGCTATAAATCCAGTAATGAAAATAAGAAATAATCACAAGACCATTGTATTAAAACCACGCTCCAGTTCGTTTTATATTTATATATATATATCTTTATATAACCTGTTTAAATGACTCGATGATCTGATGCAAGTTGGTATACATGTACATTTAACATGCAAATTACCATTTCTATGTTAATTTTACAGATAGCCAAGTACATTTGATATTGGTTTGGCCTATTCCATTGCTTTTGTAGTTCTGAAAGCCCTTCCAGTCTCGACTTTCCACCCTTATGACCACAACCCCCTGGCCATGCAGTTGATGTATCTTGTAATATTTCGCTGAACTTTGCTATACCTTTGATTAATGATGCTGAAAATCGGGTTTACTGTGTAATATTTTGCAGTCAATTGGTTAAATGGTCCAGTGAAGTATTATTCAACAAGTTTATATGAATCTATGGCTGGACTGGGTACTAATAATAGTTTATTGATACATATATTGATTTCCAGATCAGAGGTAAGAGTAGTGCTTTAAATTTTAATCTAAATAGGTTGCCCTCGATTTTGTACTGATCCCAGAAAGTTATATCATGCCAGACTTATCTCATGATTCTTTGTATGTGTATTTATTTCGAATGGGCCCAATCTGCACAATATTCTAACCTCCTTCAGGGTTTGTCACAAATTAAGTTATTTTGTAGATTGATTTGAAAGATATTAAAGAGGAATTCAGAGAAACTAATGGTAAAAATTTAGAAGATTGTATTGAGAAAGAATGTAGTGGAGATTTTAAAAAGATGTTATTGACAATAATGAATAGACAATAGACTGATATATTGACTTATAACATCGTTTATATTAATATCAATGTGTGTCTCCCTAACTAACTACGCGAATATCAAATGTGTGCCACTCTCATTTTATGAATAGTCATGTGTGTCACTCTCATTATATGAATAGTTATGTGTGCCACTCTCATTATATGAATAACAATGTGTGCCACTCTCATTATATGAATAACAATGTGTTCCACTCTCATTATATGAATAACAATCTGTGACACTCTCATTTTATGAATAGTCATGTGTGTCACTCTCGTTATATGAATAGTAACGTGTACCAATCTCATTATATGACTAACAATGTGTGCCACTCTCATTATATGAATAACAATGTGTTCCACTCTCATTATATGAATAACAATCTGTGTCACTCTCATTATATGAATAGTCATGTGTGTCACTCTCATTATATGAATAGTAACGTGTGCCACTCTCATTATATGAATAGTAACGTGTGCCACTCTCATTATATGAATAACAATCTGTGACACTCTCATTATATCAATAGTAATGTGTGCCACTCTCATTATATGAATAGTAACGTGTGCCACTCTCATTATATGAATAGTAATGTGTGCCACTCTCATTATATGAATAGTAATGTGTGTCACTCTCATTATATGAATAACAAAGTGTGCCACTCTCATTATATCAATAGTAATGTGTGCCACTCTCATTATATGAATAACAATGTGTGCCACTCTCATTATATGAATAACAATGTGTGCCACTCTCATTATATGAATAACAATCTGTGACACTCTCATTATATGAAAAACAATCTGTGACACTCTCATTATATGAATAGGCATGTGTGTCACTCTCGTTATATCAATAGTAACGTGTGTCACTCTCATTATATGAATAGCAATGTGTGCAACTCTCATTATATCAATAGTAACGTGTGCCACTCTCATTATATGAATAACAATGTGTGCCACTCTCATTATATGAATAGTAACGTGTGCCACTCTCATTATATGAATAACAATCTGTGACACTCTCATTATATGAATAACAATGTGTGCCACTCTCATTATATGAATAACAATGTGTGCCACTCTCATTATATCAATAGTAACGTGTGCCACTCTCATTATATCAATAGTAATGTGTGCCGCTCTTATTATGTCAGTATCAAATGAGTTTCATTCAATTGTGTGATTAAATAATATGCGCCACTCTTTTAACGTCTATTTCAAATGAGTATTACTCTTATAACGTCAATATCAAATGGGCGCCACTCTTATAACGTCAATATCAAATAGGTGCCACTCTTATTACGTCAATATCAAATGGGTGCCACTCTAACTATGTAAATTTCAAAAATTTGCTCCTATTATGCGAATGTCATTATATCTTTCACTCACATTATGTTTATATTAAATATATTTGCGTATTTCGTTTTGTAATGTTAATGCTTCATTATGTACATAGTTCATTTGTAATTCGTATGCATTATTATATAATACGTTGTTGGCATAAAAATGCTCTACTGTTTAAAGGGACATTCCACTTTTTTTAGTAAAATAAACGCCTAATTGTAGAGAAATATGTCTCCTATGTATTCTTAATATATCGAACTGCTTAATTAACAATTAGTACTCTGTTTTTAATTAACCTTTTTGAAATATATTCAGTTTGATCAAGAAGATACATAGATATAGCATACTTTACAGTCATTGTCATGAAAACTTTTTACAAAAAGCGGAATACACCTTTAATTCATGTAATTGGTTATAAACTGAGTCAAATAATGTAAGTTATCGTCACACTATATTATTAACGAAATATGAAATTGCAACAAGAAAATACAATTTTGAACTTTATACTGTTTTAAAGAAAATACATAATTGAAAATTGCTTTTTTCTACTGTGGATTTTGATATGAAACTGATACTTTTAAATACATGAAAACCTGTTTTAATCGGAAACTCTGGAATATGATAGCCAGAATTGATTTCTCAATGACGTCCTTCAAGAGTATTTATAGCCGTCTTTTGTCATATAGATTATTATATAGACATAAAAATATGATGATTTGATTACCTATAGTTGAAATCTCTTGGTAATGATTATTCTTTGTATAATTATAGATTTTATATTGGTCTAGTATATAATATTTCAATAAATTCTATATACTCCTCAAGATATGGTTCTTCTTTTCTTACTGTTCTGAGTTTAACTCTATTGGTATGCATTGATTTGTATTTTTCTGTAATTTATTGGTTGTGTCAACAGTTTTGGTTTCTTTCAACATAATCAAATGAGAATTATCCTTCGCCATTCCATTGCACATATTGTGAAATATATAGTTCATCATTTATAAAAGGCATGAAGAGTACGTTTTACCATTATTTCTAATCTTTTATCTGATCAAAACAAAATACATATTTTAACTGATAGAAACCCGTTCGTCAATCAATTGCTGTAAAGGCATTAAATATCAGGACTTTTCGACAAAATTGTTTGTTATCTATTATAACAAGTTCGTATGATTTCTAATTAAACATCCAATATATCGACGAGTATTATCGGAAAGGTACAACAACTCGAAAAGATTTGTATCCTGATAATTTCCAGATAAATAATTTAATAATATTGTTGAATATAATGATTTAATAATTGGTTGAATATTTAGCTGATCAATTAACATTCTTGATACTATACTATACGTTCATAATTTTCCGAAAACAGACCTCAGACACATTTTATAAGCAATAGTACGTTTCTAAATAACAAAAAATTAAAGACAGTTTGTGAACCAAGGTTCTTTTTTTATTTTCAAACCAACTAAAAGCAGGTTTAACAATAAGACTAGATCAGATCAAACAAAGAAAGGTGAAAGGAAGAACATAACATTTCTAAAAGTTCTGTAGAAGAGTAAACTAATTGAAAGTGGCTTCAATTACTAAAACAGATAATTGAAAACAATGCTATATACTGATGTACTGCTTCTATTTGCAAAGCAAATTGGAAATACAATAGTGATTATTTAGTACAAAAATATATCTCATATATGATCGGCCACTATCGGCCAAGTTTTTTACAGATTAGAATTAGGAATGAAAGACACAGAAAATGATAGTCAAATAAACCCTTCTGCCAATTGCAGATTTAATTGTTTAAAATGTAATATTAGGATTGAAATAATTAAGCAGGTTCAAATCTAACATTGTGTTTCAATATAGTCATTATTGGCCTTAATTGATTTTCGGATAAAAAGTATATAGTTTTTAAGAGTTCCCGTCTTAAAATACTATGGCACTTTGGAACGGGGCCTGATGATGTTTCAAAGAAAGAATTCTAAGTACAGTGGTGCTTTATAAGACAAAATCAATTAATCAATCAACAAGACAAAGATTATTAAAACTCAACCAGTTTCAACATTAATATTGTAATATTTAAAATAACAATAAACAAGTTTAATGATAAAAGATTTTTAAGTAGACAACATGATCACAGCTTTCCTTACATGAAATAAAAACAATTTAAAGTTTATTGCCAACAATGCTTTTAAATGCTCCAATAATTAGTATATTTCTCTTATATATTTTACACCATTACTTTCAAAATGTCAGTTCTTATGATTTGAAAGGTCAAATATGCCCAAATGTCAATATGTAATTTCTTGTTTCTGATATTTAAAATACTTTTGAAATACTGTCGTTTCTTTTTTAAAAAAAACAGGACCATTTCAGGAGCATAAATGATAACTAAGCTTAGTTATTAGGGCACATAACAGTGCTTCATTTATGCTTACAAAACGGTCAGAAGTTCAAAGGAAATCAAATAAGTAAGAGATTTTTCAATGAATTACAAATCTGATTTCCCTATCATAACCAACATTGGTTACTTTATTATAGAACAGTAGTTCTATGAGTTCTGGTGGTCTACTCGAATACCACACCAGCTTCGTGATGTTTCTTCACCATGAACAGCTTCTCGTGACGATCCTTACTAGCTGGTTGGTCCTTGTAGGGAGCTTCCTTTGTACCATGAAGTACGAGTGTCCATTCCTTAAATACACCAGTCTCCATGTTGGATTTCAATCCAAGGATAGGCTCCATGACTACCTCCAATGTCCATCGGCCACGTGGTACTTCAGCCCAAGTGTGGGTTGTCATGAAGGGCCATCTGGTAAAACCATTTTTGCTGTCATCATCCTTTGGTCTTTGGCTCAGGATCATTGATCTGTAATAGAAGCATATAGAACAAATAAGCATATAACTTGTTAGAGTGTATAACGTTATCTTATGATACTTTGATTATCATTTTACACACTAGAAGGACTAGGTTGAAATATAATTTTTCATTGTGCTTTCAATTACGTTCATTGCAAGCCATAATATGAAAACAAAGCTGGGTACAATATCATAGGAAACAAAAAAGATCCCTTCCAACCATACTGGTACAGCTTCGAATTGATACAAAGTACGCATGAATGGAAGAGTGCAATTTAAGATCTCAAATTCGTGACAGGCAGTAACGGACCATAGATGTCCAAGGTATGAAAAACGTACAACTCCAAATATCAATTGTTATTGACACTCCGGGTAGACCTCAATAGATTTTTCTTTGGATTATAAATTATCCAAAATATCATCTTACGTTGTGTTCATTGGTGAAGTCAAGTAGAAAGTTACACAGCCACGGAATGTTGAGGTAACAGTAATGAATGATTGAACATGTTCCAAATAATTTACTTCGTTCTCACTTCCGGCGCAAGCAGATGTATCAATGGTCATTCTCAGCGATTTGTTGAAACTGAAAGATCTGAAATCGAGACAATAATTTGATAATGATACTTTATCTTTTAAATAAATGTCGCTAAAGGATTATTATCTTTTAAGTACTACGTTGAACAAGTTAAGAGGTGCAATTTATACAGTATGCTATGAGAGAAGCCCGAGCAGCACCAGAGACTAATTTTTATTTGATAATAGTTAGAGAAGATGGATAGTTCTAAAAGGCGAGATGAGAGATTCCGATAAGTAAACTTAACAATTCATGACACTATATCATGTGTACTTGTTCATCTAATATGTAAATTACCTAGTCTCAGCAACAGTACCAGCTGTACAATGGAAGCGTTCTGGTAAACCTTTCCAGGTACTGGCAAGATCAACCATGGCAGCAGCATCCAAAACACCATATCCAAACAGATGATTGAATTCTAAACGAGCTCCATTTAGTTTCCACTTGTGGATGTTGTTGGAATCGTGTAAAGAGTTCTTCTTTGATGTCAGAACTGTTAAATGTTGGATATCTCTCCACGTCAAATTTCGACTGAAACGAAAGAAAACATTGAAAAGTTTTATTAACGGATAATATATTTTTTATGAAACGAATAGACACATAGCAAAGTACATCTCTGTAAAGAGTTTTTCGAAACCCAGACTGAAGTTTTAATTAAATCTTGAATACATGTACTGCAGATATTTAATTAGCGCTAATCTAATTTATATATAAGAAAACGGCATTGGAAGCTTTCAATATGCAAAAGTGGTGTCTATATTGAATACTAATTCTGAGAATCATGTCTGGGACAGATATAGATTGCCTTGAACTTTTGTCACATAATCAAAGAATATTCAATTCCAGCGAAATAGTTGTAGACGCAGGGTACTTGTTGATCATGTTCTAATACAGTTACGTATGCTAGTCACGTTTGAATTATACTGTCAAACACCCACGCCGCTTTTATTTCAGACACGTGTTGGGAATTGGAAGAAAGCCATTAAGCACAGATCGACATGATGTCATGATATACTACTCACTTGGCTTCAAGGGCTAGGGCGAATACACCTGCGGCTTCTGGTGCAGCCGCAGAGGTACCAGAATGACTTGCAGTGCAGTTATTGTACAGATCGGTGGTGGCCTGAAAGTAAATATGCAATATTCATATAATCAACCTTCAATGTTATTATAATTTCCTTATGCTTATAAGAGATTATCTCACAAAAGACACAAAATATACATTTAACATGAGATTGGAATCATAGATTAGGAATTACTAATAACAAGCTAGTGGTTGCATTTATTACAATTTATTTCTTGTCAATTTTTCAATAGATAATATAGTTTGTTTCAGGAAATAACGCATCAATTCATTCAGACAGACAATCTCCGTTATGTCAGAAGAAAACAGCCAGTTTTAATGAGAGAATCCCCAGAATGCCATCCGCTTTCCTTTAAAATCAATATTTTAAATTTCATAGATAAATCTTGCATTATGAACATTATAGGTTACCAATATTTTCTGTAAAATGCCAAATGCAAAACGAACAACACTGACTGAATATCCTTTTAAGGATGGCTTACATTAAAATTAATAAAGCCAATAGCATACCTACGACGAAAATCATCGTTAAGAGTAAATTGATATTTTATTATGTATATTTCCATGTTAAGAGATAAATCCATTTGATAAGGTGCTTGGTTTCATCGTAGCCTATTGGTATGTTAATGGAAATCTCCTGATTTGTGTTTCCTAGTCACATATCAGGTTACACCTTTCCATAAATCAGCGTAAATGTAGTCTTGTATGGATCTAAGATCTGGGTTTACTATGTTTTTGTAATTATTCTGACATACAGTAAATCAACCAAGTCCCATACAAATTAGTCGTGAAAACCATAAGACATTGTCTCATTCAATTATCGTTAAAAATTCTCATTATTTCTGATCGTCATTATATCCAAGCTGATAATTATAGTGATAATTATTTCCAATATCCCTTGACGACAAATAACGTGTATGTTAATGGAATATTTCCATGTAATCCTCCAAAATACTGTGTGGTACTATTGTCTCCGGATATTTTTCAACCGGAATGGAATGGTCACCGCAGTACCGACTATGATCACAACTCTTTAACAACATACTTCAAACATCCTGGTTAAATATCAATACAAGTTTATCAACAACTCTTGAACAACACTCCTAAAAACATCCGAGTTAAATATTAATACCAGTAAACCAACAACTCTTGAACAACACTCCTTAAAACATCCTGGTTAAATATCAATACAAGTTTATCAACAACTCTTGAACAACACTCCTAAAAACATCCGAGTTAAATATTAATACCAGTAAACCAACAACTCTTGAACAACACTCCTAAAAACATCCGAGTTAAATATTAATACCAGTAAACCAACAACTCTTGAACAACGCTCCTTAAAACATCCGAGTTAAATATCAATACCAGTATATGAACAACTCTCCTAAAAACATCCGAGTTAAATATTAATACCAGTATATGAACAACTCTCCTAAATTCATCCGAGTTAAATAAAGATTTTAATACCAAATCACCAACTTTCCTATAACATCTATCCTCAAAACATCTTAGTTTAATATTAATATAGCACAACAACTCTGCTCGATATCTACTAGTTCAGTACATAAGCTCTATTGAAGCCATTGTCATAAAATATATAGGCATAATCATTTATAAACCCAAGAGAGCAACAAAATACAAAAATGTAAATACTACAACTGTTCTCGGAACTTCTTAGTCTTTTATGTCTTAAAGACCACCTCAATTTAATGATAACAGATGAGTATATCAATACCCTTTCGTCTGTATAGTCGAATAATTCAATAAGTTTATCAACATTATTCAATCTATCTGGATACTATTTATATGTCTAGACAGTATTCTTTAAACCCTTATGATGAAACACAGGCGATAGTATTATATTGTTGAGGTGATGAATTCAAAAACACTTCAGGCAATAAGGGATCGTTACTTTATATAAAAAAATATATTACAAATTGCATTCTTCTCCAAAACGCTGTTAATAAATTGAAGTAGTAAATCTAAATCAAAGAAGAAAACAAGAAACGCTGACATTTGTGTTTGGAATCGATACTTTTGAAAATAAATACGTGTCAAATACGAGACAAATTAGGTAAAATGTTAAAAGACAATGAAGGGAAACAGTAATCAGATTACTAGCTGGATCAATAGTAAAGTTGAGAAACCCGATAAAAACGAACGACCGTACAAATCCCACGTTCTTTAGGTAATCCCGAGACACATAAATAGTTTTCCTTATCAAATCAATAAATTTTTAATGTAGTGTTTTGTTGTCAGGCAAGAACAAGAAATGTACGATATGCGCGGAATAAATAATACATTTCAGTTTGTCACGATTACAATTAAAACTCGGCAATAAAAATAGAAATAATTTCCAATTCATTCTATTTGAATGAATAAAATCGCATGTTATCATTATTTTATATACAACATTAAAATATTATTTGTATTCATATTAAACCTACCACACCAGCATCCCTTGAGGAACTCTTGCCATTACTGAAAGTAGAAGCAATGGTCGAGGAGCAGGACTCGTCGTAACCTGCTGTTTGTCCATCATTGGTAGCTGAGTTGATGGATATTGTCCACATACTGGCTGCATAACCATCACAGTTACAGTCATCATTCGGTCCACCATCTCCAGATGCCCATACATAAATATTACCTAGTCCATTACGTCCCTACAATATAAAATTATAATGTAATGTACAATTTTTTTACGACAAATATTTCAGGTAAAAAGGTTTTTCTTATAAATTTGAACTCTATAATTTTACTTAATATAGTACGGTAATGTAATGTAATATAATGTTATTGTAATGTTATGTTATGTTATGTTATATAATATATACAATAAGGAAAGCATTTGGCAGGAGGAGAATTTCATCTTATGAATAAGACGCCTATTACCCTTCGATATCCCAATGTACACTGCGTTTATTTTATGTACGTTTCCAGTTCTTTATATCATGTACTTAAATTTTCCACCAAATTAGATTGCATCCCAGACTATCCCAGCATTAAGTGTGTCACAAACACTTTTATCTACAGACCGCAATATATTTACTTTGTGTTACAACAGCAATCGAGATTCAAAGTCTTTTTAAAAATCGATAATTTCTCAATTAAATTCACTGATTGAAATGTCAAGTTCTGATAGATGATCCTTATAGCATGTATTTTAAAGGGAATTCTATAGAAAGCATCAATATAAAATGTTTTGTTGGCTTCATTCTGTGTAAATGTCAAAGTATGATGTTGGTGACGATCAATACTTGATTTTTATTTTATTTACATTAGCACATTTTCTGACGACCATTACTTCTCTTACCTATTACATTGATATTTTATATGATCCAAAAGTATTCAACCAATGTTTTATACAAAATAATTAATTTGATTTAGTTTACGATTGAGTGGATTATCTAAATAAATCAATTCGTTATATCGATATTTGAATACCTAAATAGTATTTATTGTATCATAAAATAAGAAAATGAAATTACTAAGGTAATTCTAATTTTAGTTTATTAAATATATAACCAGCACTATAAAAATTATCTAAATTTCCTTCATTTGCCGAAACATTAAAACCTTTCTTTGTGCTTCAAGTTTTATACCTGAATATTTCCCTACAAGTCACGTTTACGTTACCACAGTTCCCCTTATTCGCCCACTTTCTTCAGTTGTCTCGAGACATACCTATTATACAAGTCGGGGAACTATCAGCTTGATATAGGATTTCGTGCTGTTTCCAAATTGGTTGTTGCACGTCATAAAATTGTCAAGGGATCATCATAAACTTCATCTTGTGAAAATGTCGATATTTTGGCTTTTGTTACAACAAGTCCTTTCGATGTTCAATGTCCTCTGAAAGTCATTGGGAATGTCAAATAGACTTATTAAAGAAAGTTTATACTTCTGCTAATGATCTTCATTCCCTTGAGAATTATTTAACCAAATCTATATTTTACCACTGGAAACTTACTGATTTCGTGCAGGGCGATATTTGGATTGTAATTGACTGTCGTATATCCTATTTATCAGTGTCAGTGATATTCCAATGGGATATTAATCACCATTAACCTACACTGGTATATTCTTATTCGTGAGCGCTTCCGTGTTTAAGGTAAAATAGCTTCAATTTTTAAGAAAATAGTGAACAGGTATGTTTTGGTTACTTACTTCATTGACGCCCTTGACAATGGCCCTCATGGTCAAGTTTCGTGGTCCATCAACAGTCTTCCCATCATCAGTTGGTCCCCAGCTAGCACTGTAGATATCTATCAAATCTGGTTTGTGACCCATGGCATTAGCTTCAATTAAATCAGTCATAAACGGTTGATCCAACATTCTCAGACCTGCAATAGAAAGTTCAACAAAATAAAATGCAGACATTTAGTTGCTTCTGTTGCTTCTTCTGTTAGTGTAAAGATTAAGAGAAACATACTAAGTTTGGAATTTGCAGCGGCGATATAAATCGTAATTTTCATTATGTCGTGTTTAGTTTTTATCCGACCACGGTTCCTAGTTATTAATGTGGTATCGATGGATTTGCTAGTCTTGATCAATATTCCTCTATAACTTATCAAATAGTTTCCAATTATCAGATCTGCCTAATGTCATATATGTCAATTAAGTTTCGGATACGTTTATATTTTGTAGTCTGGTTGACTAACAAGAAAAAATCATTAAAGAAAGTGCCAGGTCTATATTGTCAAAGAAACAGAATAAAAACCATTTTTTTATGACCAACACTAAACTATTTCAGAACTAGTGGCGTGATAGATTCCATATTGTTACGAAAAATTCCATGATAAAATAAGACATTAAAACATTGCCTTTCATTTGTAAAGGGATTAAAACTTTCTAAAACCGAATGAAATGTAGAATTAGATTGGTCATTTCCTTTAAATCTAGTTATTTTTATATAGATTCTGTCTGAGAGGTAACGGTAGTGTTAAATTATATGTTTTCTTTCTAATGGAAATTCGTCGGAATAATTGTACATTATTCTTGTCACTGTGGGTGGTATATTTGTCACAGAATAATCTGATTTCGAAAGTTCCTAAAATGTTTCTGGTAACTTATTTCCTTGTTGAAAAGTTTATCATTATTAATGATCTTGTTGTATGTTTGTTTTTGTATATACACTTTGCACGTTGGAAGTCTTGTCAACCACTTTATATAATCGCTTTTTCTCAAGTTCGGAAAATCTATAACTTTCACAACTTGTAGTAGGTAGCATTCGCCTTTCTTTCCATCAGCATCCTTTGGAAATACATCACTGAATATACAATGATGCATTGGAAATACATCACTGAGTATACAATGATGCAGTGGAAATACATCAGTGAGTATACAATGATGCATTGGAAATACATCACTGAGTATACAATGATGAATTGGAAATACATCACTGAGTATACAATGATGCATTGGAAATACATCACTGAGTATACAATGATGCATTGGAAATACATCACTGAGTATACAATGATGCATTGGAAATACATCACTGAGTATACAATGATGGAAATACATCACTGAGTATACAATGATCGAAATACATCACTGAGTATACAATGATCGAAATACATCACTGAGTATACAATGATGCATTGGAAATACATCACTGAGTATACAATGATGCATTGGAAATACATCACTGAGTATAAAATGATGCATTAGAAATACATCACTGAGTATACAATGATACATTCTTCCTTTCTTGTAGATAAAACCTTGTTGAGCACTGCTATTTATAGTATTCGGAGACAATGCTATTTATAGTTTTCAGAGACGTCAAGAACATTGGAAAGATGAAAAGAAATCTCCTCGCTAATTGGTGGTAAAGCTTGGAGTGGACCTTTAACTTTCATCTTGAACTTTTCAATGACAATAATAATGATTCAAAGAAATCCAATTAAGTTACAATTTTAGGTTAATTATTGAACAAATTTTCGAGTATCCGTTGACAAAGCTACAGGTCACGTAATTTTAGGTAGTAACTATAGATAGGCATTTTGAATGTCTATTCAAAGTCTGAAGCATACTTTCTAAAATTCATGCTTACAGTTTGTGTTTATGTTAAAAAAAAATTATTTTTATAATGTCGTCTGTATATATAGTTTTATGGCCTAATTTGAAAAAATAGTAAGGATATTTTAAGCACTTAATCAAACTGTTTTGATCAGATTTGTTAAAATACAGATTGACATTTAAGCCTTGGATTTCAGGTTTCTTAAAAGGTTTGTCTTACAGCTATTTGAGAACATGATAAAACACATTAAGTTAGATCCGGGGCATTATTTGATATGCTGCTGTGCCACATCACCCTGGTGCTTCGTCTTGGAATTGTTACCGGTCGAATGAAATAACGACTATATTACATTCAGGATCACAGAAATTTCATTCGCCAAAAGAACTAAAAAGTGACAAAAGCATTGGCCAATCTTGTAATTTGAAACAACATCATAAAGAGTATCTATCCACATCAAGTTTCCCCTTGGGGTGGTGCAGTCGGTGCAAGATGAAGGGACTGGCATACAGACGATGGCATTGAAAGAATTGAAACCCCATATGAGAAGGAAACAGACGACCCAATAACTTACCTGCTACTTTAGAACCATAAGCAACACCAACACCACAAACATTGTTATCTCTTGCTGCTGATACTTCTCCAGCACATCTTGTACCATGACTAAGAAAAATAATATTTTATATTAACTTATACATATGTGTATGGATATAGATTGAACAATTTGCTCAAGAGACAAATTTTAAAGAAAAGTACAGTGGATTTTTTCGACATTTTTCCACCGCTGCCCGGAGGCATGTAAAATTCAATATTAATTCACCTCGATTAAAAGAGTGCTTCTAGCATTTAATGTAATTATATCTCGATAAGACAAAAACAAAAAGCATGTATTTTAATCTCAGTGGAAATTAACAAAAACACTGTAGCCGGGGAGATCAGACAATAATAATCAATATACATTGTATTCTCAATTACCTGTTGAACCATGTATCTGTATATCGTGGGTATGGGTAAGGATCATTACTACTGAAATCATAACTGGCATTGGCGTTCTGAAATAAAAATCCAGATCATATGGGATGCAGCATTCTTAACAATTGCTCTTCGTGTAAAAAAAAGATCACTTTGAGTCATAAGAATCATTTATTAATCAGGATGAAGTTCTGATTTTCCCTACCATATCAAGACAAGGAAAATGTATAGTGGATCGTTACTTCTAGACCGTTTAAACGTCGACCTATTATATGTACTTGAGAACACCGTGGAAAATACGTTATTTTAACTGCTTGGTGTATGTACTCCCATGTCACAAGTTTGACTATTAAGAAAATAAGTAACGTGAAAAGAAATATTTATCTATATTTGAGACTTTTATATTGAACTAAATCTTTTTTATCACGACAATCACGAATAGCCATTCTAATTGCTTCTGATTACCATCAATGTAAATGTTTAATTAAATCAGAAATACAATCTCCATTAATTTTTCAGTTTTTAAGAATTATTTCGTGATGTAAAATTAAATTATTATCGGAAATAAGATAGTGAAAACTATTTTGTTCGGAATCGTGACACTGTAATGACAAATTATCAAGTTTCTTATTTTTCAAATCTTAATTTCAATACTTACATAATTGTGACGTAGATCTTCGTGTAAGTAGTCGATACCTGCAAAAGATTTTTAAAGATATTCTTTAACTTAGTAAACTTTAAAAAATACGTCAGAATTAAAGTAGATAATAAGTCCGTATTCAATAAATAATTATTCATTATTCAGTAGATAATGAGTCAGTTTTCGATAAATAATAGGTCAGTATTCAGTTGAGGATGTGTCAGTATTCAGTACAAAACGAACCAGATTCACCAGATAATGAATATGTATTCAGTAGATAATGAATACGTATTCAGTAGATAATGAGTCGATATTCAATAAACATAAGTCAGAATTCAATAAATAATCAGTAAGTCTTTGATTCATAACGATTCAGTTTTCAGTAAAAAATACGACCCAGTAGTTAGAAGATAATGAGTCGGTATTTATGTAAAAGATAGATAGGTAACATACTCCCATTGGCAGCTTTCAGAAATTTTTAAACAGTTTTATGTGACTAAAATACGATTTTTTTCTGATTTTAAAGATCCTCATAATATATTTGTATTCCCCGAAAACCAAATATCGGTACATCAAATTATTAAATCACACATGTCTAATGTCAAGAGCAAAAACTCAAAAATAATTTAGCGCGAAATTGTCAAAAATTCAAACTTGACCAAGAACTCATCAATATAAATAAGAAGGACGTAAAACTCGCTTCACTTCATTACATTTATCAACATAAATCATCACACAAAATTAATTTTCATATGAAAACTAGTCTCTATTGTACTCATGAACAAACGTTTTTCCGAGGTCAAGGGAAATAACTCAAAAATCATTCATCGAAAAATCATCAAATTGGAACTTGACCAAGATCTCATTGATATAAATGATCACACCAAATTTCATTAAAATCAGTTGAAAACTGTAATCTCTTTTTTGTGTTCACAAACTAATTTTGATACATTTTTCCATGGTCAAGGGCAATAATTCAAAAACTGTTCAATGAATAATCGTCAAATTCAAACTAGTCCAATATCTCATCAAATGATCTCAAAAAAATTCATTAAAATCAGTTGAAAGCTATAGTTTTTTTTGTGTTCACAAACAAACTTTGACGCGTGTTTTCTAAGTCAAGGCAATAACTCAAAAAACGTTCATCTAAAAAAGTTCAAATTGATCAAGATCTCATCGTTATAAATAATCACACCAAGTTTGATTAAAATCACGTTCCTGCGTTCACAAGAAATGTTAACGGACTGACGGACAGAAGGACAGGCTTATATGTAGGGGTATAAAAAAGGCGTTGACCAGTATTCAGTTAAATGATGAGTCAGTGAACAGTAGAAAGTGTTCGCCATTTTTTTTTTCATTATGAACTGATGGTTTCTTTTTTCATCCATTTCGACAGATAATGGCTCATATTTCACACAGCCTACCTTATCTTTTAATAGCTATCTATTCAATATAAGATACAATTTAAAATACTAAAAGGCCACAGATAAAAATTGTAAGGAGAGAAAATGGTAGAGATCCGGTCTCTCGACTGGAATTCTCGAGTAACTATTAACAGTAATGGTTTAGACAATTATTATATTTTACCGAACATTGTGGCAGTTTTACTACTCAGTGTGATTAATGTATTACTGGGAAAATGATATCAATTAACGTTTTATATTTAATTGCGTAATTTGAATAGGGTTTATGTACATGCAATGGCAAACTTTTCAGGGATCTTGAAAATACCGAGGTTCTTTAGAACAACAAAAACTAAAACTACGAAAATCGCATATTTTTATTTATGTCGTACACATCTGCTCTCTGAAATGTGGAGTCTCAGACATCTTCTGTCTCAGCTCTGCGTAGACGAAGAGGGGCAGGACGATTGAGTCTACTGTACACACATGACGTCATCAACGGATATTCAAAATATTCTTAAAATGACAAGTCGTTAAAAAGAATCATTCAAACATAGATAATGATGGATACACGCGGATTTGACGGTCAGCTGTGAACATTATTGCTGATTAGCTTAGCGGAACAATTCACGTTTCTGAAACCATTTAGGCCTATAATTAACTACCGGAAATGTCGCCTCTGTCCCTTTAGTACATTAAAATATACAACAAATTGATATCTCATTACATGACCCACGCCCTCATCATAAGTTCATTTTAATTTAGTCCATATTAATACAGATAGTTCTTCGAAATGGTTCATGCATATGAATGTTGGTGAACTGAAAGGTTGTTGACAAACACCAGACAATATCAATATATCTCAATAAGGCTATAATTTTCCAATCGAGTACTCGCCATACAAGAGGAAAATTACTAAGTTGAAATTATAGAGCAATATTTCTGATAATCTCTCGTCTGAAAATAACATAGCCTAGTTCTGTAATCCTGTCATCAAAGTTAGAAATATCCTAACACTAGAACTACGATAATTTAGTGCAATTACCAGAGGCTTGCTCATTAAAATTTCAGCTTCAAATACACGGAACGGTTTTGGAATTTATTGATATTATTTCAAAATGAAAATTAATGATTAAAATGTACCGAAATTTGTTTGTAAATAAAGAATACTAAGTCAGTGTTAAATAATAACTAGTACTTCATGAATACTGGATCAGCTTCAGAAAATAATTTGTAAATACGTAAAATCATTTAATTATAATCACTTCATGGATACTGCTTCAGTGTTAAATTATGAATAGTTCGTGTATGTGATACTTGTTAAATAATGAACATTTCATGTTTAATAATAATATGCTTCACTATCAGAATAAGACCTACTTACCATCATCCATAATAGCTGTAGTAACTCCCTTTCCTGTATAACCTGCGTCCCATGCTGCAAGAACGTTTAAATCTAACCCTACAGTTCCTCCACTCTGGCCAGTATTCAACTGAAAATAAATACATGTATACTTTAGAATTTCATTATTATGCACTATTTCATAGTAGTATTAGCTTTTGTAAAATTCATAGATCAAATTTCTAAAATCTTCAGATATCTTCAACAAAAAAATGTTGTATTTCGTGTTTTTTGCATTTGTTTGTGTAGTGATTTGGTTCTATGTGGTGGGATATATGTGATGTTATTTTGTATTTAATGGTTGCTGTTGAAATGTCCTTGTTAAAATTAAACTATAAGTACTTGCGCTTCTGCACCGAGTATTCACTGAGATTGTATTTGAAGATAACAATGTCTGCAGCATAATTTTCATTGACATTTGGCTAAATTCGTTCAAGGCTGACTTGCGGCAACATAAATGTAGACGGTTTTAGATCTACTGGATAATAAATGCCTATTTTAGCGCTGTAAATGTATTTATTGCTTCAGATATTGCTCTGTTATTGTTTTTTCCATAGCTAAAGTGGCTGGTGTTTACGTTGTTTACATTATTAATGTATTTGTCAATGTCCAATTATTGCTCTAGTTGTACTGTATCTTTTGTATTAATCAAGTTTTGTAAAGAAAATTACTTGGCAATGGCCATTTTTTGGTATGTCTAGATTTTCACTTTAGATGCAAGGAAACTAATATTCCAGATTCAAAAAATCAACCCAAGGTTTAATAAATTTGTTCAGAAAGAAATGTGTTTTACTATCGATGAATATCCTATGCTAGCACTCCATCGAATTTTCAGACAACTCTGTCATTGCTACTCAGTCAAAGAGGCAAAAAATTTGCTTGACTTGTTTCTATGAGACTGATACATGATGCTGTACATAAGACGAGAAATACATTAAAGTCCATTTAATTAACGTGTTATTAATCATGTAAATTAAATTGATTCTCATAAAAAGAAATCATGATAAATGATTCCATGAAAATAAAAATGGCTGCTGACTTAGATTATATCGTATCAATTTAAATTCAACTGTGATTTAAAAGCTGTCATTCCCATTTAAAAGACACAAATACATTGAAAACAGAATGTGTAATGGTAACGTGATGTGATGTGAAGAGTGTTGATGTCGATATTAAAGCCCCGCCTACAAGATCATATATTTGTTCAAAACATCATCATACATTTGATTGAACATGTCCACGCTTGTTGTGGATTTCTGTCTACACTGTCCAACATCATCGATCCAACATTTGTATGATGATGTTTGACTACTATTTTTAGAGGGAAAATAATTCAACATGGATGCTCAAAGCAGTCTGCTTACTATTATTTTGACAATTCTTCATTTCCAAAGGCGAAAGAGGAGAGGTCGAAAAGTTCGCCATGGGGTCAGAAACTGGATCCAAAAAAGAGATCAGCACAGCCTTATTGATTGAGCTACAGGTGACAAATCAACGACTCAGAATAACCTTACATTTTCTTTCATGGACTATTAGAAAATGTGGTCTGTGCCGTAACTTGGTCTTTTTTCTATGAGTCAGAAATCCTGGTGTCTTTCATTACAAGGCCTTTGGGTAAACTTCAAACTTTATCCACCTTTAACTCTAGACGTTAAATAAGCGATGTATTTAGCGGATATAATAATTATCTTTTTAATTTTTTTACATTCTTTTATTTGGCGTCAAATTCGGCAAGATGAATTTTTCTCATTTGCCTTGATAAATAACTTACGGTCCTATTTGAACCCCCACTTCATGGTGCCATCAGCTGGTTCGACTGGAATATTGACAAAGGATGATAAATTTAACATTTTAATTACCAGTATAGACTTCTCTGCGTCTCGTCAGCTAATTCTAACGCATGAGGTAAACTCTAATCTAATTACGGAGTAAAGGTGTCCCAGTGTCGCCAATTGTCAAGTTCATTTTGTCTTCAAGTCAATTTCTTGGACAGCAATATTCTAAATGATTAACGAAAGTTTACACAAGAGATACGCTCAGATTAAATTCTGCATTGTCTTGTCATTGGGTGTTCTGGAAGTTTACTCGTTTAGTAGAATAAAGAATACTATCTCCATCTCTACTCTATGACTTTACTTAATAGATTCTTTTAATTGATGACACCATAAATGGAAGCCCATTTGGCCAAAAAACATTTAAAGCTAATGTAGAAACGTTAATGCCATCATTTCAGTAACAAATCACATCATTTCATCTCAATTTGTATTCTCCAGTGTCTCTTGTAAACCTGGTTTCTTTAAGATATTTCATATATTCCTACATTATCCCAGCGATTTCTTATGTTCTATATTTCTACTGTAAAGTTTTACAACGACATACAGAACAGAAAACACATCATTAACCTTTTCCATAAACATTTTTGTATTTTCTTCTGAATTCAAGATTTAGTTGTTGATGGTGATAAGTTAATCTTTGGATGACTTAAATGTTGCTGATCTAGGATTCATTTATTTATTCTTAGCTGTGATGCAGAAACAAAAATAATATCATGATGGTTACAAAATGCATTAATGAATGTCAATTCCATTTGTTTCGTCTTGAGTCAAACTTCGTTTCTCGCTGGTAATTCAAAGATTCTGTTTTTATCTCACGTATCCGAGATACTTAGTTTATCTGTTCGATATCAAGAAGTGAGAGCGTTCATTAATCAAATTTATTTCACAGTATGGATCTTAATGCCTTTCGGGCTCGAATTAATGAATATATTCACTTGGGTTGTTGTGAAATCAAATATATTGAACTGGAGAACATCAACTGAAGAAGCAGCGAACATGACTTAAGGCTATAAAATGGTTAACATGGTGGTAAATAACTTCACCGATCTCAAACACACTTTATTGACTTCATTCGATATATTGCTGCTTCATTGCGTTAGAAAGTTATATTTCTATTCTAAACTCGAAATGAGTTTCGCTTTTATTGGCTTCCAAGTATTGTGATAACCTTCATCTGAAGTGATTGAAAAACACACTGCTTTATAAGACAAGGCGAACGTTTTTGTGATTTTATGGTTGTAAACACATAAGATATACAGCTAAGTGGGTGCGTTTTTGAATGTTATAAATCGATTTGAAAAAAAAACCTGCATACTGGTCGTTTGAAATGCTCTTCGCAAATGATCGAAAGAGTGAACGACAATGATGTATGCTGTCAAGTAATGTTGTTGTAATGAGTGATTTTTACGTTAATTTTGTGTGATAAATGTTGATAAATGTTATTAATAGACAATCTAAATAATAGTCTTTTTGAAATTGTTAGTGTTGTTAGTGTTGTTAGTGTCTGATATATATTTGCAGAGACGAGCTTGCCTCGTTTTTCAAACGCACGTTGATAAGAATACAACACGAATATTCATGAGATTAATGAGGTTTATTTGATGCCTGCTACACTTCAGATAGTCACTTTATTGGCAAAGTTAAATGCCAACTCGTTTTTAATGATGCTATTAGATGCTACGTCACGTTTTATTGAATGTGTCAAAAGTACCGTAATCCTTCTCTATATTAAGTGTTACATTCAATACGTTTCAGATCCTGTCAATTAAAAATCTCACTTTTTCTTTCAATATTGTTTTTTCAGATCACGATATTAAATCTAAAAACTGTTGTCATTTATAAAGAAAGTCATCAAATGATATTAAATATTTTTTTGGTCATCATCTTGCCATATTTTACATGTCCAATATTTTGTTTTCGCAATTTTTATATTTTGACATTAGCATTACGATTTTCTATCCCGAGTATTTTTTTGAACAAATCTAAATGTCAGTCAACCTTTTCTCATTAATTATTTAAACTCCGGAGATTGATATTTTTGCACAAAGTGTGAATATGGAAAAAAATCAATCTCACGCTTGGGTAAACATGCTAAGCTTGTGGGTTGATAGAAGCACTTCATACAGCTTTCCAAATTTCAGCAATTATTGTACATTATTTATGATGTTCCTGACTAAGTCTGGAGGGAGCCTGTCAACGTTTTGTTGTCAGTTTGAATCTATATCGAGGGTGGCTTTCGTGGTTGGCCAAATTTTCATGAAACTTGAACACATTGTCAATTTGACTGTCTGTTCGCCAACAAAAGATTATTGAGCTGAACATAAAATATCGGTGGAAAATATAGATTCATTTTGAAAATAGATAAATATTCTAGTATAAAACTCTAATCGGATTGTGTGATCTCAAGGGAATATTATCAACGGAAAGTTCTTGAGATTTGGATCAATAATGTTAATATTACCGCCCTCTTCTATCATAGCACTAGGGAGAGTTGATATTGTCAATGATTATTGTTAATATAAAGTCTATTTAGATTCAACAATGTCTACTTCACTCTCAAGCGAAAAATTAAAACTTAACTTATTTGTCAATCAAGTTGATTCGTACTAAAGAATGTAAGTCCGAGAGCTTTTGTTGAATTTTTCAAGTGCTGGTATTCAAGCATGAGTAACATCTCAAAACGTAAGAAACAAATGTCAGATCAAATATCTGACATACCATGCATAAATTTGTCTCGTACAAACATGTTTTTCATGGACAATATTTCGTCAGAGAAAAAATTAAACAAAATTAAGGTTTCGGGAGTAACGGAAAAGGAACCGTTGTAATATCGAATACTTTTGTTTAAGAATGAGAACATAAGTGCGAATTCAGAAATCTGATTTTTATTAAGGTTGATTTTGGTTTTTTGTATGTGTTACTCTGTTTACCACTTAAGATCTTAAGATTTTGTTCATAGCGAGTTCTTGGAAACCGAAATATGCAACGAATCAAATGACCTACTTAATAAAAACACGCGGTATTCGTGATATTCATTGTAAAGCAGACATATTATATTGTTTACACACAAAAATTTACGATGTTTTTGATTTGGTAGCGTACATAGCGATAAGCCGTGACGCTGATAAAAATTCAATTGAATTCCGTCAGATTATGGGTGACGAGTAAGCAAGTAACTGTCATAATCAAATATTACACATGTCAGAGTCATTGTATATGCATGCAATATGATCAGACGACAGTAACCCAAAGTATAAATAAAACATATCAGAATATATATGGTGAACAGTGTATTTTATGTATGAATATTGAATATAAATTGTGTAGAATATAATACAAGAACGTTGTCTACCACCCTCTATTGATATCAATTTTTAATTAATTATTCCATGTAATGTTAACGAATAACAACACAAACTATTGTTCAAACATTAATTTATTACGTTGGGACTGGAATAGCAATGATATACCCGAGATGAAAGCAAGAAGATAATTGTTTAGTTTGAATTATTAATCCAACAATCTATTTTGGTTTTCTTGTCATGTCTTAGAAAAAACATGAAAATCCGAAAGCATTATATCACAATATAGTATATTTGTCGTGTAGCAAAGTTTCAATGAAAGTTTTTTGTCGGAGAGCCCAAGTCTGTAATATTCTGTAAAACTAAGTTGGTTTTCTCGGACATGTATTAAGAAATTTGAAATATTTTGTTATCAGTAACGATAGTGCCACATGTTTGCCAAAATAAAAATGAATTTCAGAAGACCAAAGCTAGCATCACGATCTTTTATTAACGGCGCAGTATTTGGTTCTTTTATGATCTTTATGTATTATTATATAGTAATTAATTGCCCTACAATGCAATGAACTCTTTGACTCCTTAATCCTTCTTCTTAAAGATGTCTTATGAAAAATAAATGTCACCATCTTGCTATTATTGTTATCTATGAGACCAACAAGGTCTGCTACTGTATACACCTGCCCAGCGGTCAATGCGGTCAATTGTTGATTTGTTTACGTTATATTACAGCAGTTATATTTCATTCAATCCCAATCTTGAATCGTATATATGATCAAATTACATTGACTAATCTAAGACGTACAGAATTTTTCTCTCAAAGAAAAAAAGAATTTTCATAAAACTCACCAGATACCATTCTTTATGGAATTCAGGATCTGTGGGAATTCGTCCTGTTTGTCGTTGACCTACATTGTCTGATGGTGTATCTTGTAATCTGTGATAACTCGGTTGTTTAAAGTCTAAATTGGCTAATATACTGTCTAATGATTTATATCCTCTCTTGGATCGAACGTAACCTGTTTGTTGTACGGCAGATCTTACCTGAATATCATTAAATATACATTATCATACAAATATAGTATTTACATAAAGTTATTTCTGTTCACTCATTAACAGAAATTTTATGCTTCAATTGAATCTTTTAGACGTTCAAACAAAATCAATATACATTCGTCTATGATACAATACTGCATTTACATGTGAATGTATACGTCAAATGCTTCGAATTCGTATATGCTTAGCACACAAACTGTTACTTACTAAAGGATGTGCTTTTAACACTCTTGAATGTGGAATGCTTCGTTTTCGTCTGTATGTAGAAACACCTTTATGTTTAAAATGAAATAGACTATCTGAACCCAAAACCTGAAAAAGAAGAAATGATTGTTATGTTACTACGTGGAGATATTTAGTAGGACTAAACTCTGATGTAAAAAAGAATAAGATTGTTTTGTATATGATGAAGTATATATCTAACTTTAGTAGGGACGCAGGCTGAAATAGGTCAATTGTCTGATGTCTGAAGATCCAATAGCGTAAAACTCGTGAGTAACAACATCATGTTTTTAGGTTCTGTTTTAATATTTCTAAATGTATTTTTATGTACATGCCTTTCCAAATGTAACAACCGACATAAAGTAATCAAGATTTGCAGTTTTTCGAAAGTACTGTTTAGCAAAAGCTATCGCTTGGATCCGAATCCAAACAATTCAATTTCTATATTGACTGTGTACAAGTGTGCTTGAAATAAAGTTTTATATACAACTCAACTCAAAATATGAATTTGATTCTGCTTAAAAATCTCAATTAGAATTGATAAGAACAGAAGATTTTATAAATCTATCAGACATTTAAATCTTACATATATCGTCATTTTGCACTCTTTTTCGGCTAAATTTTCTATATTTAGTATTTGTGACGGGATTCCAACCATAAATTTATTTCTCTTCTATTTTATAGCGGGTGTATGAACCGATTTTGAAATAACTATATATATGTAGTCTAAATTCTGAAATATCTGAAAGTTCTGAAAAAAAAAACTGCAAATTGAACTTTTTTTTCTCAAAAATAGTTGTCAGTTCATATGGAAATACTTGAGTGAATACTGTGTCTATTGAAATTAATGGAAAAACTAGGAATTGTAGCCTACAAGTTTAATAGAAATTGATGAATCTGTGAACAAAAAGAGACATGCTTTTTTCCCCTTACAATTTGTGTTATTTTTTTTAACAATGTTTGATGTTAAGTTTTAACAATGATTCTTCATTACAAAGAATACTGTATTATATTGATTTTCATCACCTAGATTTGACTAAATTACTACATAATACGTATTCAGATCTGTCAAATTCCAAGAATAGGAAAGGTCAGTTTGTAAAAGAGAGCTACAATGATGTCAATAGTGATTAAACCAATTGACCTACTTTTTACAGGTATCAATATCTGTGGAATGAAATATATATTGACTTTATCTTTTTGTCGACTCAAATAACCACTGACAATATAACTAGCAGTAGGCGTAATGAACAATTTATCTAAATTTTTATGTATTGAAACCACACATTTCTGCAATGCATTCTATCCAATTAGTAAAATTTGCGTGGAATATAGGTTTGCTATACGAAGAAATGTTCCTCGTGGAATTAGAATGTGTCTTAGCTATATTAGATAGTAAAATTTGGATTAAGGTGTACCAAAGGCGACAAGTTAATACATTCGGATTATGTTTGATAAAAGAAGATACCTGAATATTATTACTTAAGACTCTTGTGATGATATTTGTCATGAGATTTGTGTAGGTCTATTATATTTATCATCTTAAGCTCCTAGAACACGTGGGCGACGTTCCATCATCTTAACCACTTTGACGGATTGTATTATCAACGTGATGGTTTGTTATTCTGCATGACAATGCATGTGGCGGAGTCAGCTCTGTACCGCTTTTATCAAATGCCGAGAAGTCTCTACTACAATGGTACTGTTGGGCATGTAAAGGGTTAGCTGTAATAAGGATAATAAGGTCGCTTAAAATATTTGTTTCAGCGCTTAACTTCCGCTACCAATATCACTTTCTATAGTAGTACGCACGTTGCCTTCACTTGAAAAAAGAACCTACTAAATGTCATTTTTGATTAAAAAAGACTATCGTTTTTAAACGTTTTACCAGTAGCCGTAATCAATTTGAAAAAATGATGACTCTAAGGCTGATGGTCTACTTGTATATTAATAAGCATTCTGATCACAGGAAACTTTCATTGTGCCTTATGCCCATCAAAACTACCTCAAATTGAAGATGATTATTTCGTATGTATACGTCAGGTGATGTTTTGACTAACAACAGTTCATTGTTAATAAATTATAAACAAATCTTTCAGAATGATATTCTCAGTTATATCAAATATAGATATAGATTCAATCATCCCATGTACAATGCTAGTAAAAGGGTGTTAAACACGCTGGTTTTAATGATGATTACACAGTGAGCAAATCCTATTAATTGTCTAGATTATCTCCATTAATTCTCTCAAAATATATATTATAATTAATAAATAATCTGTAGATCACATCATTTATATCATATTAATCACAATTATCATTACAAAATATCGTGATTAGAACGTGACAACATCCTACATGCAAAACGTGTAAAATTAGGTTGTGGAAATTTGAAAGAAGTGACACCTGATAGTCAGTTTCAAGATGGAGATGTGGCAATAGTATATACTATAATAGTGTACAAATTTAGTGAATGTACAACTATTTCAATTATGTTGCGAGCAATTTTAATCCAGATCGTATGCATTACTTCGTATGACAACTGATACAGGACTACCATTGTGTTAAGAGATTGCATCGTTGTTTCCGTCCTGACAAGTAAGAGGAAGGTAATTTATGTGTTGAACATAAAGACGGCTTACTTTGAATCGTGGGTACCATGCTCAACGGAATATAACTTGCAGGCATCAAATCATCTCATTTCCCTTACATTAGTTATGTCAGCAAGTTCTTTGTATGAATATTTGATCAAATGAATTACTTAAAACTGTTCGATGTTTGGAATTCTATTCTTTAAACAACCACATCTATAATCAGAACAGTGATCGATTCGTGTTATTTATAATGTCATTTACATGATAACATTTTATCTTCATGATAGGTATTGAACAGTTCTACAAATAGATGGGAAGCCATCTCTTCCGTTGGAGCTAGACAACCATTTACCATACTAAAGGTTACATTCATAGTCAATTTCCATTACGACTTCACCATTTCCCATTAAAAGCAGGCAAAATTCAGACATCCCCTGATGAACATTTAGCTCAACACCTCATTTATATAAACAGTATAGAAAGGGTAAGTGATAATTAGGCTATTTAGGCCCTACAATAAAGACTGAGAGCTCATAGACTGTATGTTCAATATAGAAAATATTTCCATATGTCCAATGATAAAAAGGTAATTTCAATTCTTAACATGGCATTTGTGTCTGGGTGCCAAACCAATTCGATAAGAAATTGACGTAGTAGCCTATAAAATGGCATCGCCAGAACATTCACAAGACATACTTTAAGGCGGACACCATCATAACACAAACATGTACTTTACATGATGAAGAGCAATGGTATATTAAAGCTGACTCTGGAAAGTGAATGTGTTATAAAGTAGCCAACGCACCAAATCTTACTTCTTGAAAGACAATAAAGCAACCCTGCTGAAAATCAAAGTGATTTAAAGCACATCCACTGAAAGTCGTAGTGTTTTAAACAAGACTCATTGAATGTCGAGTTGTCAAGAGTGTTATAAGGCTGATATCATGAATTTCCAGATGTACCAAAAACGGCAATTTACCGTTTGAACGGGAATGCAAAATAAAACAAAAGTGTTTTTTGTCGAATAGGCTACTAATAGATTGATTTCTAATAAAAAGTACATCAGAGTCATAAATAAGCAGTCTTTTATTCAAAAACACGCTCAAAGTAAATCAAAAGTCTTTCACAAACAGATAAACAGCTTTGTTTACATTAAATTTTGTGTCTGTTATGCCATTAGAGGCCTTCTCTTTTATACATAATTTTCTCCACATTGCCCACATTTTATTAATATTGACAGAAATTCAAGGGCCTGTGGTCATATTTAGAAGGAGAGAAATTCGTAGTTAAGCGATTGACTAAATGTGTTTTAAGTCAGACCACCAGTCGGCCTTCATCCTTGTGAATCTTGATTGCCTATAAAAAATTAAAAGACGACACGTGTATATTGTGTTGAAACGTTATGTGCCCTATACCTTATTAAAGAAGTGTGTTATATTCCATAATATTGTCTTGTGTTTTGTGATATGTTAAAAACGAGGTGTTAAAATTTAATTTAACCTTCTTTAAAGATTGACGAGAAAGTGAAGGTAATCTAAGTGAAATAGAATACATGTAGATGTTGTAGTGCTCTGGGGCTGTGATTGAATGATATTACCAGTCTTAATTAAACTGTGTAAAGATTTCTACATGGAATCTTGTTTCAAACTTGACAACTCTTCAGTTCCAGGTTTAGTTTAGTAACCTAGGGATATGGTCTGACACAGACTAAAGAATGGTCGATTTCGATAGAGGCAATATCTTATTTTATACTTTTGCATTCAAATTGTATTCAACCATACCCTAGCCTCACTCTAACACACCTGTACTTGTGTTAGATCTGTTACCCACGCAATGATTGCATGATCAACAATTTCCACTGCGTTCGCTTCTGGAATATTTAGAAGATTAGTCTCGAAACAAAATCAGCATGTATATAAGGATATAAATGTATTGAAATAAGCTTATGTCAAAGAATGAGAAACACAGTAACATATATCCGGTCGAAACAATGCATCTATCATCTAACTAATATATTGTTAAAATTATATTTGTTTCCGGCATGTTGTCGTATGTGTTCTTTAAAGAAGTGTTTTGTAGTGGGGCTCTGTCTGTGGGATCATAATAGTATCAAACAACGTGTAATCTATTTTGGCTCGAAGCGAAGTCTCAAATTCCAGACAAAGGATTTGTATGGTACCACGAAGAGGTTGTTCCGAAACAAGACTATGTTTGCTATATTTTGTTATTGTTTGTATTTCTATTTTTTAATCAATGTTGTTACATTTTGTTTTTGCTTTTTCTTCCATATTTAAAACTCAATGTTTTGGTAAAAACAACAAAATCAATAATTCAAGATGTACCAGACTCAGACACAGAATTGAATAAATGTAATATTTGAAATGTAATGAAATTAATAGAGTTTTATGTCCTACTTTTCTGCACCTGATGGCCAATAACAACGCGTCGCCATGCAGTGTGGAATGAGGGAAATCTTGCAGCATTATTCTAATTTAT